AGTGAGTGCTCCCTTCTCATTTGGTGGCCAAAGTATTTGAGCTTCAGTTTCATTATCTAGCCTTCCAGGGAACAGTCAGGGTTGATGTCTTTTAGGATTGACTGATTTGATCTTCTTGCAGTCCAAGGGACTCTCAAGAGTCTTCTCCAGCACCATAGTTCAAAAGAATCTATTCTTCAGCGCTCGGCCTTCCTTATAGTCCAACTCTCGCACCCTCCAGGTGGGTACTGGAGATCACCTAGAACTGTAACTGACCTCCAGACAACAGAAATCAGTTTCCCTGGAGAAAATAACTTCTTTGGAGGGTGGACTCTGTGGTATTATACCCCACCTCCGGTGTTCCCTCTAAGCTGAGTTAGTGTGAGCCAGCTCACAGTTTTATTAGCCTCTGGCTCACACATTTTTGTATCAGCTGAGAAAGGATGCCTCCAGAGAAACTAGTTTATGCAGTAGCCAAATCGCTCGCTCACAACTTGAATGCCAGTAGCTCACAAAGTAGGATTTTTTGCTCACAAGACTTCACAGCTTAGGGGGAGCGTTGCTCCCCTCCCTAAACCCTGTCCTTCCTAGACGACGCCACCCCCATCTCCAGGTATTTCCTAAGCGGGAGTTGGCAACACTCACCATCAAGCGTCTATTACAGGGCCGGGGCTTTCCCTCCCCCCTGGTAACACTGCTTATGATACATTAAGAGTCCCTTGGCACATATACCGTCATGGCACATATACCGCCCCCCCCCCTGTAGTGACTCCACATCCCCACACATCAGGGCCGGATTTAGGCTTGCTGAGGCCCTAAGCTAAACAAAACCCAGAGGCCCCCTACTGTTTTAAATTACATCAGCTGGTCTCAGAAAAATTTAAAATATATACGCCTTTTTATCATTTGAAATCATTTTTTATATTGTTTTTATTTGAGGCCCCAGCAGATTGCGAGGCCCTAAGCTTTAGCTTATTTAGCTTATGCGTAAATCCGGCACGATTTTTAGCCCAGTTTTCCAGCCTATCAAGATCACCCTGTATCCTATCTTCTACCATATTTGCTACCTCTCCCAATTTAGTATCATCTGCAAATTTAATAAGCATTCCCTCTATTCCTTCATCCAGGGGTCATTTCGTAGAAAAAGAGATGCAGGAGCTCATTAGCACAACTTATTAGCATAACTCATTAGCATATGCCACACACCCCGACATCATCGGAAGTGTGTCAGAAGGCAACACCCACCGCTCGGACTCCACTGGACTGTTTTGGATTGCCAGCTATTGGGGGGGGGGATGTGCAGATCTGTCCTCGCAGAGGAGGGAGAGCTTGTACCTGAATAAAACTTGGTCTTAAAGGTGCCACTGGACTGTTT